ACTTTTTTATTATTAGATAAAATAGTATAAAGCGAAAGTATTCATAATTGGTATAGCTAATTTTAAGAAGTTATAATAAATATCAACTATTTGGTTTTATATTTTATTAGCTAAAAGATATATTATAATAGTAATATTAATTTTAAAGTTAATAATAATAATAAAAATATCTTTTAGTTATTATAGTTATTTTAAAAATATATTAGCTAAACTTAATATTATAAGTATAATATTTAAACTTTATTTATTTATACATAAAAAGATTAAGTATTACTAGTTTTACGATCTATTTTATAATTTAAAACGTTTAATACAAAATAATAAACCTTTTTCTATAATAATATTAAATAAATACAATAAAAACTTTTCAATTATTATAAACTTTTTACAGAATCATTATCATTCTTTAATATAATTATTTTATATTTATTATGTAGTATTTTGTACTTAAAAATATATAGAGTAAAGATTACTAAAAAAGATAAATTAAAAAAGCTTTAAATACTTTTATAAAATATTTTAACTCATAGTATTATTAATCTAATAAAATATTATTATTAAATTAATAAGTTAATATATTTTTTATTAATCCTAGTGTCAAAAATATAAAAGATATTTATTATTGATAATAAGTTAATAGCTAATACTATTAGATAATACTTTAAATGGATAAACTTAAGTTTTATTCCTATTAGTTTTTAAAGATTACTTCTAATTTAATATAGTAATAAATAGACTATACTAAAACTTTTTTAAAACTTTTTTAGTTTATTATTAATATCTTTATTATATTAATAACAATAGCTAATTATAAAAAGATTTCTAATATTACTAAATTAAGCTTTTTATTATAGAGGTTTTAAATAATATTAAATATTATAGAGACTTTTTAATTAAATAAAAACTAACTAAATAGGGGAGTAATAATACTTCAAAATTACTTTAAGTTATTAAAGGTATTATAATTCTATTTGTTTATTACTTAATTAAGAAGTAGAGATAATATTATTTACTATAGCATTTAATTTACTATACTTATAAGTTAGCTAATGATTAAAGCCTAAGAAAAAGATCACTAAGTTAATAAGTATAGGGGGCAAAATTAACTTAATTGCATTTACAGCAGCGCTGCTTCAACTATAGTACGTGGTCTTTACGTTTATGAACGTGGCCAGAAAGCACCGACCGAGAATTGAGAAATTAACGCAACTGTGTATTATAAAGTCGCCATTGTCAAGGTAAGCGATTAAAAAGTCTCGTCAAATTTTAGGTGATGCTAGATTTTTGTGGAAACTGCGGCTCTTGTCTCACTTGATCTTGTTGACGCATTGGAGCGCAAGCTCTCCAAGTCTCAATTCATTGCTGCTAATTTGGCGTTTTTTGTGGTTTTGCAGAATATGAGCAAAGTTGTTACTATGCTCGGAGCATGCGCAGGCGGGGTCGCAAGCCAGGCTCTAGGAAGCCCGCAGAGCGACTTTCGAGATTCAATCCAGGACAGGAACAAGATGATGAGACCCACGATGGCGAAAGCGACTCATCGAGAGATCATCAAGACTAGGGGCAAGGCATGTCTTTGCAGCACCGACGACAGTATTATCGTCATCAGCAAGATCAATATCAACAGGAAGTCTCAGTGTCCCAAACAGCATCCCAACGTGGCATCAACTATGACGACCTAGCTTCGACTCATCATACAATTACCGCGAGTAGCAGCGGTGGCCATTTCCAAGCTTCCTCTACAGATTTAGCTATGAACGGCCATATTCCAGCCTCATCTGACACAGTACCATCAGAATTGATGGAAGATACGACAATGTCAGCAGCAGCCATTTCAACGTATACCGGAAATCAACATCACCCTGTATCTTCTGCTGACTTGGAATTTTCGACAATGCCCATGTCAAGTGTCACTGCAGAGAACCCAGGTCCACACTTGCATGGTGCCGTATCGTCCATAGGTAGCGGCGATAAAGCCCCACAAGCAGAGAACACAACGCATTCATTTACAGTAGATTCGCTGCTAAATTCGCAGATGGATGAACGATACGGAAGCAGCAGTAGAGGAATATTAGGTGCTGCTCCAGCAGCAAGGACAACATTACGAGAGCCAGAAGTGAACGGAAACCAGGCATGTCGCTTCAAATGCCTCGAGCCCATCAATGATCATTCCCATGCTACAAGGCATCATCGACGCCAAACTTGCATGCGAGCTACTGGACCTCTACTTTGTCGAGCCTGGAGGGTCTCTGTTCCGATGTTCCTCGCCTTATGTTCTGGCCCATATTGTGAGCAAGGAATCTCTACTCCGTTCCGCTAACCCGAAAAGGCCTACTCCAGCATTGCTGGTCACGATGCTGTGGGTCAGCGCTCAAACCGCCGAGAGCTCGCTCTTTCTTCTTCCTGGACAGAAGTCACGAGTCTGTGAAGAGTTGAGGAGGTTGATGATGGCTTTGATTAAGAATCGAGATCCTGATTTCTGGCATAGGACGACCGGTAAACCCTCCCGTACCCTCACGCGTTCAATCCCAATGGTCTTGAAATCGAAATTGATAACATTATGACTAACGTGTCTCGTACAGAGGGGCTTCTTCTAAAGGACTTGGAGTTTACTACAAAAGCTGCTATGACGCCCGGTGGCTTCAATGATGCGAGTATGTACGAACACGAGCGACCGTCATGTGTGGCTTCGGAGCCACCTCCGGCACCTTCAGTAGACAATGTGCTCACGTTTATTCTCATTACCATTGTTGTTTCTGGCGGAGACTTCGAAGCGGATTTTTTCCGATGGTGGAACAAAGCACTAAGTTTATCGCATAAAATGAGACTCAACCGAGAAGACGCAATACAAAAAAACATGTCGTCAACGGAACACTCCATATGTTATAGAGGCAGAACGAGCTCGACATGTGCTTGCCGCACTTGTGAGGCTGTACGAACAGGACTGTCAGTCCCGGAAATTCAAGAAGAGCGCAGGCATGGCTTTCTGGTTAATGTTTTGCCTTGATCGACACCTGGCACTCTCTTTCAACTCTCCTCTTCGTATTCTAGACGACGAGTGCCGACTCTACGCACCTATGCCAGATGAGGCTTGGGAGTCTCTGTAGCTTCCAAAGAGCCCCATCATCACGAATCATGACCCGGAAGCCGCCAATGGCACGCAACAGGAACAACGCCATCTGGGACGCAATTTTGGTGCTCCGAATCGCGTCGTTGGCATTGGCTTCTTTGAGTATTTTTTACCCTTGATGACAATCCTGGGCGACATCATTCAACTACACCGCCGGAAAAGTCACCCACGATTTGGTAATCTACAACGGTCAATGAGCACTCCAATGAACTGCGTCGCCCAAGACAATCAGGCACACGAAGGCCATGACCGTAACATCGAAGGAGACCCGGCTTATCTCATAGTGGAAAAGGTCATGTCTGAATTTGCACAGAGCATTGTTGACCTGGCAATTCGGTACGACGTTGACGCCCTCGATAATGCAGGGATCCCGGCAAGCCAGGTCCGGACCCCGAACTCGACGGGATTTGCGCCCCGTGACGAAGAGAACCATTTCTCTAACAGCTCTCATGCTAAGATCAGTATTAATGACGCCATGAATCATCGGCCTAATAACGACACCGCATACGCAAGTCGACACCAGAGTTCAACAACAACCCACCGTCACCATGCACAGGCACAGCTCGTGACCGCATACAGTACTTTCATCATCAACGTCCTGCATGTTCTGTTACATGAGAAATGGGACGCTATTTCTATGTTGGATAATAAAGATGGCTGGATACCCTCTGTGGGGTTCATGAAGTGCGCTTCTCACGCTATAGCTGCGTCTGATGCTGTCTCACGCATCTTAGCTTGCGACCCGGAGCTTTCCTTCATGCCATACCTCTTTGGCATTTACCTTCTGCACGGCAGTTTCATACTGCTGTTGTTTGCCGATCGTATGCATCAAATCGGTCTGAATGAGTCTGTTGAGAGGGCTTGCGAGACTATCATTCGCGCCCACGAGGTGTGCGTGGTTACACTTAGCACCAAGTTCCAGGTAAGACTTTCCATCTAATCGATTCTGATCCCTCAGGTGTTGATTAACCCGCAATGCCTGCAGAAGCATTTCCGCAAAGTCCTGCGTTCAACTTTGTACAGCGTGCGAAGCGCAGGAACTTCTAGCGTGGAAGAAAGCAAAGCGCGTCGGAGGGCACTGTCGCTGTACCGCTGGAATAATGGATCAACGGGTTTGGCCTTGTAACAGAGCAACAAGACATGGGAGCTTCACTGTTGGGTATGAAGTGGAAAGGAATCTGTGAAAATGTATGTAATTTGAGCCAAAAGGCTGTTTGATGGCGTCCTGCACTACAACATAGCTGGTCGTCTGACACATACACCCAGCTGTTCGCCATATAACTCCAATAATGAGGGTAGTCCTATCGAACCTGATTGAGCTGCGATCACGGAGATATCGTCCAAGGATGTTCCTCTGCGTGCCGTAGTCTCGCTTCTCCCCCACTTCTTCCCCGCGTTCTCCACGCTTCCCGGGTTGACTGAACTGGCAAGCCGTCGGCATTTTATCTGGGATCAGCGGAGCGCTCCTACAGGAGCACTTTGTCACACAAACTCCACCATTGCAAATTTCCGACGGATATTTCTTTACAGCTAGTTTCACTTTCGCTCTTCCCCTCATGTTCCAGTGGCAATCAATGCCGCGCAGGTGACTCGTACATGGCCGTGGGATGTCCTCACTCCACCAGCGCGCATTGGGAGTAAGGGATCCCGTGGGACGAGAACTGATTGGCACCGAGGCCAACCCTCCATCAAGCACGTACTTTTCGGTGGCCTGAATTGCGAAATATCTTCTTCCGATATCCCGCTTATCGCTTAACTCTTTGGTTGGCCTTGCCCTGACATATTCAATTTGTGATCAAGCTGACACGGCTGTGAATGCACACCTTGGACCTCAGCTACTTCCGCTAACATCGCTATTCCCACAATTAGAGCAATGGCAGAGCACACGCTCTTCTACGACAAGCCGGCCAATCTTTGGGATGATGCCACACCAATCGGCAATGGACGGCTAGGTGCCATGGTACGTGGCACCACCGATGTTGAAAGGCTATGGATCAACGAAGACTCGGTCTGGTATGGAGGCCCTCAAGACCGTTTGAACCCGGCTGCCCGCGATGCTCTACCCAAGGTCCGCGAGCTCATTGATCAAAACCGCATACGTGAGGCCGAGCAGCTCATCAAGAAGACCCAGACCGCCCGGCCTCGGTCCCTGCGTCACTACGAGCCGTTGGGCGATGTCTTCCTCACATTCGGTCACGGCCAAGATCCCCCCGGCGACGAGGTTCGCGTCTCGGGCATAGTCAATTTCGAGAACAGCTTCAGTCGCGACCTGAACCGCTCTCCGCAAAACTACCGTCGCGAGCTTGATCTCCGCACAGGCATATCCTCGGTTTCGTACGACTTTGGCGGTGCACACTTCGAGCGGCAGGTTTTCTCGAGCACTGTCGACGAGGTCCTAGTCATGAGCGTCAGGTCGAATGACGAGTATTCTTTTCAAATCGATCTCAACCGTGGCGATCACCCGGAATGGGATCGTCGGCTCAACCAACGCTACGATAGCCTCGAGGAAATCGATGGAGGACACATGATCACCGGCTCCATGGGATCAAAAGGGGCCGTCGAGTTCGCCATGGGCGTCCGCATCATTGCAGATACCAGCGAGGGCGAAGTACAGGTTGAAAACACCGGCTACAATGTAGTCGTCAACGCCAAGGGCCGAGTCACCGTTCTCGTCTCGGGCGAAACCACCTTCCGCAATCACAACGCCGGTGAAGCTGTCCAGAAGCGGCTTACATCCGCGTCGATGAAATCCTGGAGCGACCTGAAGTCGGCACACGTCGAGAGGTTCTCGGCTTTGTACGACAGGGTCGAGCTCCAGCTTCCTGGCAGCGGCGACAATACCGCAGTCCCAATCGACCAGCGCATCCAGGCCATCAAGGAGGGCGCAGTGGACAACGGGCTAGCCCAGCTACTGTTCCACTTTGGGAGATATCTTCTCATCAGCTGTTCGCTTTCAGGCCTGCCCGCAAATCTACAGGGCATTTGGAACCGCGACCATATGCCGGTATGGGGTTCCAAGTACATGATCAATATCAACATCCAGATGAACTACTGGCCTGCCGAGGTCGCGAACCTAGCCGAAACGCACGACATCCTGTTCCGCTTCCTCGAGCGGACCGCCGAACGTGGCGCCGAGGCGGCAAAGGCAATGTACGGCTGTCGTGGTTGGGTTATGCACCACAACACCGACATCTGGGCCGACACTGCACCCCAGGATGATGGCGTCCAGTGCACCTATTGGACGCTTTCAGGCGCCTGGTTCATGATGCACCTGTGGGAACATTACCGCTTCAGTCTTGATAAAGACTTTCTTCGCAGGGTGTACCCTCTGATGGCTGGATCTGCATTGTTCTTCCAGGACTTCTTGATCGAGCGGGACGACAAGCTCATCACCAGCCCCAGCTCCTCGGCAGAGAACAGCTACTACGTACTCGGGACCAAGACGGTTGCATCCATCGCTGCGGGTCCCGCATGGGACGGACAGATCCTTACGGAGTTCTTCCGGGCGGTCGTCGAGGCGTCGGTGGCCATACTTCGTGGAGTCTAGCATGGATTCTATGCCAGTACGCGCGCCTACGCGACGTCGACGGTGCCCACGCAGGCATTCAGAAGATGATGGGAGGCTTGTTACTCAACAGCATGTTAACGAGCCATCCTCCCTTTCAGATCGACGGCAACTTTGGTTTCTCTGCCGCAGTGGCAGAGATGTTGCTCCAGAGCCAAGTCGATGACGGGACTGGCAGTGGCAACACCATCATTGACCTCATTCCTACTCTCCTTCCCGCCTGGGAACAGCGAGGTGGCGTTCGCGGTCTAAGAGCTCGTGGTGCTGTGGAGATACAGAAACTTAGATGGGAGGATGGTAAGCTTGTTGAGGCTGTTGCGGTTTCCAAAGCTACTGAGCCCCAAACTCGTGTCTTCCGAGTCGCCCCAAACAGACTTAAGCAGGGTAGCAAGAGCGATGGTACAATCAGTGTCGACCTGGTGCCAGGAAAAGCAGTGACTTTGTCATTCTAATTAATCTGCGAATTGTAACCGCTCTTCATGTCATCTTTAACCATTAGACTGAGCCAAGACCTTGTCACTACATTCGCATGCCAGAAATGCCAGAACCGAGCGCCTCGATGTCTCGCGCGTGCCGAACGCCCTCTGCTGATTGATGATTTCTCCCACCCACAGCCTCTCCACATTCTGGGCATCTCGTTGCCTCCATTGCCATGCCGCATTCTCCAATTGTAAAGGGATGGCCGTTGCGGCAGGTGTACCAGTGACCAGTCCCTAAGAACTCCTTCGACATAGCCTGGTAGACACTACGCATCTCGTCGCTGGAGACCTCGCTGTAGAAGATGCCGTCGTGGAGCATGCGCCATGCCGTGTCGTACTCGCTTTCGAGAACGGCCGTCGAAGGATGCTTCTCCATCAGTTCCTTGGCGACAATCAAATGATGCAAGCCGAGCTCTTTCATCCGCTCGTGGGATCTGGATAGATCTCCAGCTGTTGGCTGCGGCCTGTTCTCCATCGCTGCTGTTGCCGGCTCCACGCTCGGCGGCGTGACAAAGGAGCAAAACATGCTAACAAATATGTGACCCTCTACCTCCTGTCTAGCGTAGTTCCGGATGTGGGCGGTCTGAATGAGCTCTTTGCAGTCTTTGATGTATGTGGATACATCGACCTTCACCGACTTGACGGCGCTATTGGTGGAGTTGCGGCAAAGACTCACAAAGTCAGATACGAGGAGAAGGTCGCACCGTAGAAGCAGTGTCATTGCCTGGAGGTAGCTTCCCATTTGAATAGCAGACTCGTCGAAGGAGAAGCCGTTTGTCTCCTTTTGCCGGCGACGGTTGACGTGCCAGACGAGATGGGCCACGCGTTGGTAGGGCTGTTCGTCTTTCTTGACCTGTCCAAGGAGGTTGACAATCTGATTGCGGACTCTTCTCATTGCCTTGTGGCGGCTACCGCCAGTAATCTTGAGAAGGTGGGCCATTTGTTCGTGACGGGCTCCTTCCAGGTCGTATCCTTCCAGCTTTTGAACGGGAAACACAAAAGCCCCTTTGTCTGTGTTTTGTAGAGCACCCTGGGCACTAAAGAAGGCCTCCGAGAGCCTTTGCCACTGGCTATTGGACCAACTGATGAACTTCTTTGTTGACTCATCGAGGAGGCCTCGACGGACGATCCTGCCATAGCGAGAGATGTTCCGCAAGGAACCCCTGCAATTGGGGCATACGCTGATCGTCTTTGACAGATCGAAGGGCTGTGAGCCGCTTTTGACCGCGACTGGGACACCGTCCGGGGATATGTCGTAAACGTCTTGAAGTCTCATCTGCCCATCCATGGTGGAATATGTCAAGAAATGACCGCAGTCAGGGAAAACGCAAGGTTCTTCGTCGAGGTCAATAGATCGGTAATCGCTCATCATGATGAGGTCGACGATGGTGTTTTTGATGTCATCAGACGCACATTTCTGACAGAAATGCTCGCTCGGGCATAATTCGCCGCACAGAGATGGGCCTTCGAATGGTTAGCTGCGGCGCCCACGGGGAAACTGACGAGATCACTGACATTGGTGGCCACACTTCAACGACTTGGTACATCGCTTAGTACAAGGTACCCAGTCGCAAGGAGCTGCACATCTGTAACATTTTAGTTAGCTCTATTGATGGCATACACAGAAGATCAAGCAACTTACGGCATGCTGCACTTGGAGTGCGGGCAGCAAGACGAGCATGTCTCTTCTGCACATGGGGGGCAAGGTTCGTGACACTGCTTGCTGCACTTGGAGTGCATGCACTTGTTTTGACAAGGGGATGAGCAAGGTGGGCATTTCCCTTCATGGCATGCTTCTCGACATCGGTGGCTGCATGTCGTGTAGTTCCTGTCGCATGTTTGTGGACAGTTGCCATGCTCCTCCTTGACGACCTTCCCCTCTTCTCGTGTGCGACAGCCCCAGCATCTGCCCTTGCAGACGTGACCGCATGCCCTAACAAAACCGCAGTCAGTCTTGCACAAGTAAGTGGCCGCAGACACGTTGACGTGACAAGCCACCTTGACCATGTGCCCGCAGCCTGGGACCAGCTTCTCAACTTGGACAGCACATTTGATGGCGGCAAGGTCTTTCGTTTTCCAGCATTCGATCGTGTTGACTTTGTGTCCGCATGGCAAGATAAGGCGTGTACCACTGACGACCTCCGTACAGAGCTTGTCGCAGACATCGCCGCAGCGTTTGCGACATGGATGATTACAGTGCTCTTTTGGCCTTGTGCAGTCCTCGAGGCACTTGAAGGCGTTGTGAAGAATGTCTGAGTGGCAGGGTCCGGTGCATGAGTGCCCGCAGTTGAGTCGTCGATCGCAAGGGAGGTTGCAGCCTCCATCGGGGGAAAATTGTATGAAGTGTTCTGGGTGCGACACCATACTCTTGTTATCATGGTGTCTCGGGCACTGCAGCTCAAGCTCGTTGCCAAAGTTTCCCTCCTGCTGCATGAGGTTGATGACTTTAGCCCACATTGGAACATGGATGGAAGTCTGGGAGTTGCCGATGATGTACATCCCGTGCTTGGCTCGGGACAGCAACACATTGATACGATTGGATGTGCTGAGGAAGCCACATCTCCGCTCATTGTTGCTTCGCACGAGAGAGATGATGACAACATTGGCTTCCTCGCCTTGGAAGTTGTCCACTGTTGCAGCACGTACTCCTTGTAGCGCAGAAGACTTTGCCGCTCCCTTCTTCGGAGAGTCTTGGAAATTCGTATCGGGTGATTCCAGACCAGCCAGATCGTCCATGTCTCGGTCGTTGATAACAATGTGCATGGTAGACCCGAGCTTCTGTCGCAACTTGTTCAACTGACCCAAGTAGGGCGTCAGCACGGCAATTTCGCCCGACTTGTAGACACCCTGTCTCAGAAGATGGGAGACTAAGCCCACCACCATGTCTATCTCAAAATCGTTCGAGTATGAGGTTTCGATGGAATCCTGGTCAGACCTTCGACCGGATTCGGGACTCTCATGATGAAGCCAGAAGAGCCTCTTGGCCAATCCGCAGACGGGCGGGTAGTCCTGAACCGCATCCGAATCTGATAAGGATCGGTACAAGGTAGAGCGAACAAGCTCGGAGATTGATGGATGCATACGTCTTTGCGTGTCGAGGATGCTGAAGGGGAATTTGGGGGTGTTTGCAAGACGTTCAAAAAGGGACACATCCAACGAGTACTTCTTGCCGGCTGGATTGGCACTTTGAAGCCTCCAGTCTTGAATTTGAGGTCGCAGTTGGAGATGATCCCCAATCAAGATGGCGTGTTCGATGGTTGGGAGCAAGGCAGTCAGCAAATGGGCCTCAAGGACCTCACCTGCTTCTTCACACAGCAAGACTTTGCCGTTGACGCGCCGGAGAAGATCGAGGTTGGTGGCGAGCCCTGTAGTAGTGACTCCAATGATGTTTGCCTGCTGCAGAGCACGAAGATCGATTGAGCTTCTGACGCGGTTGTTCCTGTCTCGCATGCTCTCGTATGTCTCATGCGCCGAAGACAACCTTCTCAGCTCGGGGTCGAGTGCCTGACGGACCCAATCTTGGTGCAGAAGGAGACGCTCTTGGCGGCTCATCTCTGATAGTCTCGTTTGATAAAGCTGCGTCATGGTGCGACTGGGGACTTTGGTCACTAAACCACCGTGCAGCCAGACTTCCATGGCCTTCTTCCTCCCGTGACGGACCGTCTCCCAACCATCTTCCGCATCTTCGTTGCTTTGCTCTGGACCAAAGAGCTCATCATGTTGAGAAGGATGCTGCGCTGCAAGAAACGCTCGGATCTTCTCGTTTGTGTTGAGGTATTTGTAGGTAGTGAGATTCCTGGCCACGTAATCGGCTTCAGACTCAAGTGCCTCGATCGACTCGTACAGTGCTCTGCGTTCGGTCCTTGTGCGGGTCATGCCCTCGACGACCTTACGGAGGTTGACAGGCTCGAGTCTCTCCGACTTGGAGCGAGAGCCGATCCTGACGATATTCTGGACCTTCCCATCAACAAGATGCTCCAGAAGCTGGTCCAGGGCGTGGTTTGTGTAACAAACGCACATGATCGGTCCCAGCTTGGCCTTGGATTTGTTTGCAAGTAGCACCTTGATGAGAGCTTCACCCGTGTAACTCTTTCCTGTGCCCGGAGGCCCTTGGATCAAAGCGAAAGATCGACTGAGGGAATCTAGTATAGCCCCTGACTGAGTCAGGTCCAGCGTGGAGTGTCTGCTGAGCTCGGCTGGATCAACAGGTTCACCAGGAGTAAACGACAGCGCTTTCCCGTCGTTGGCAATAGTACTGAGATCGAAAGAAAAGCCCGGACGCATGGAGTACAGCGGAGGTGGAATCTCGGGTGGTTGATCCCCCGCCTGAAGAGTGAGGATAGTTTGAAAAGGAAGGTCGACCTTTTGAGACATTGTTTGTAGGGCTTTCAAAGGAGGGGCAAATGCAGGAAGAAGGATCGACGGGAACTCAAACATTTGTCGGTGCTGTCTTGAACCCATGTTTTTGAACCACAGAAGGGCGCGCTTGACCTCGTCGACTCCGGTATCCACAAGCTTCAGATGAACGAACGCGTGGCGGTTGTCATCCGGCAAGCTATACTTGGGAGCGTCTGCCGCGTCTTCCTGCTGGGTCTGCTGAGTCGGGTTGTGCGGTGTCCGGACGGTAGACCTTGAGACTTGGAAAAAGAAGACGTTGCCAATGTCATCGACGATGCAGACGAGTGCACCATCTGTGAGCCTTTTGGTCTGTACCCACCATGCAGCTCGCTGGGCTTTGTCCAACTCCTTGGCTGCCTTTGGCTGGTCGAACTTGACGACGAATTCAAGACCATCCCGCTTGTCAAACGTGGTCTCGACGGCGGTGGCGTAGTCGTAGACTACAATTCTCGTCCTAATTTCGCGCACCCGATTGTTCGACTCGACCCTTGTGCGGATGGCATTCCGGAGATCGTGCAGTGTATCCTCGCGGAGCAGCCGGAAATGGCGATCTAGCAAGCCCCGAAGCCCTTGCAAGTGGTGCTGCGAGGGGTTGACTGTGGGCAAGTACTCGTCTCTGAATGACATGATCTCTTCGAGAGTGGGCATTATCCTGATCTTGGCGATGTCGGCATGGTCGTTATCGTGGCGACGTCCTCTGAGCGAGAGCCGCCCGGGCAGATCCTCGGCGAGGATGAACTCGGCCATGGCACCCGAGTTGGCATTCTTATGTGCGACATCGGGTAAAGAGTGGCCTATGCCAAGTCGACGCCGGACGTAGTCTAGATACTTTGAGGCCTGCATCGAGTAGAAGGCCTCCGCACCGTTGCCAAAGACGTCGAGACGGAGTTGGATATCCTCGACGATTGATGTGAAGTGTGAATTGACAATGTTCGCTGCGCTCGTGTCGATGACTTTGGCTAAGAGACCACACGCAAGGGAGATGGCTTCGAGGCCAGATGCCTCGGATTCGCGGAAGGGTAGCTCAGACCAGTGGGCGACGAGATGAAGGACAAATTCAAAGAGGTGCTTGAGGCGGGTTGCATCGATTCCCAGAAAAGACCGATAGATTGTGGTTGTCTCCTGTTCCACGACGACTGAATCAACAATCGCCGGGTGAATGATGACTCGGAATAGCGGAGAGATGCGTGACTCCCAGAGGCTCGCTTTCTCGGCTGGTGTCTTGCTTGGCGAAAGCCCCTCGAGGACGTCCCTGATCAGATTGAGTCTGCGGTCAGATGCGATCTCTCTGATGACTTCCTGGGCTAGACTGGCGTCTTGCTCAACAAGATCAAGGGCCATACGGAAGTAGCTGGCTGTATCCCCGTCATTGGAATATGCTGGGGACGGTCGTAGACGTTTCCAAGCATGAATCTTCTCTCGCTCAGGATCGGATGGTCGGTTCGAACTGCCAGTGTTCCGAGCGTTGCTCGCCGCCGCACCAGGATCGTGAGAAAACCTACAGTGTCCACCAAAGCGACACCGGCCGGTGTTTACAAACAGCCGGCAAGGGGCGGATGAAGGAAATCGAGAGTTGGACCGAGGTCTGTTATACTGAGTTAGCCAGAAAATGCAGCTGAAAGTATCGACACCATGGGCCTGACTGACCCACGCACTGGAGCCATGATGGGCATCTCAATTCGTTCAAAAGTGAGGCGTGACACTTGTGCAGTAGAGGTGATGAAGAGGATGCAAAGGATTTCGGAGGGGAACTATGGTGGGACTGACGCGACTTTAGTATCATCGACTCGATGCCTTCATTGAGAGTCTTCAGCTCCAACAAGACAAAAGCGGCACGACAAGGGCAGTAGTGAGCTGCCTGCAGTTGGTGCGAGAGGCGCCAATCATGAGGCCCAACCAACTGCAGCGTCAAATGCTATTCTTACATGACGGAGTCTTTCAAAACGGTACTAATTTGAAGTCTAAAAACGCATGCTGCGCCGTGGCATCAACTTTGAAAGAGGCCAATGTGGGTGTATCTCGAAGAGGTTCATTGTAGCCAATCACAGCCCCTGCCTGCCGGAGGCCGACCACAAAAAGCAAACAAGCAACTCTGACTGGCTGCAAGCTATCGGACAGGGGAAGCGACAAGCACCAGATATGATAGTAGGAACGTGTTGAATTCAAAGAATTGAAATATGCCTCGCGGCCAGATGCTTGACCTCCAGCTTCAGATGCATCCGAATACAGGCCCAGCCGCCCCAGTCAAATGTTTGTTGGGTGGCTGAGGGGGCCAGGAAACGGGTCGGGTCATGATGCGGTTGCTGGCATGGCTGAGTGGTGATCCCGGCAAGCGATCATCTTGGCTGTCGGTGTTTATCGACTTTGGCGTTTACTTTGGAGCTGTGCGTCCTGCTTGGCCGCATAAAGCAGGGCGTACACAAGGCCCTGCAATGACGAAGTGAAGTTCGAGGGATGGCTGTGACGATGGACCTAGGTAGTTGGGAGATGTCTCGGCTGAGACTCCTTAGTCATCACGGATCCATGTCATCTTTCGTTGGTCTGGCTTCAATTGGGGGGCTTGGCTTGGCCAGTGTGTGCCGCGCGGGCCGGGCCCCCGACCTGCCGGAACCGGACCCGGCCGATCCTCCGGCTATTGAACTGAGCGCATCCGGTCCAGTGCGGTCCAATTGCAGCAGTCTGCTGATGCACCACACCAACGGCTATTGAAAAAGTACTGCGGGGCCCGCAAAGTCGACAAACCTCCGAGCAGGATTCTCACGTGCTGCTCTTTGCGCAATTTTGGGCAAGGATTTCCGACGGGTGAAATTGCAAAAGTCGAAAAATAACATGAACCGTCGCTTCTGCGTCGCATCGGCGTCAAAGCTACCCCCACTCAGGGACCCCGACCCCGGCGTAGTGCTACTGTCGTTTATCTCAGAAGGGGACTAACCCCGGCCGAAACCAACCTGGCCGATGGCCGGTGGAAATGTCGACATGTCATGACTCAGGCGCTGCTTAAATAACCATGGGTGGTCGCGCGTCTGGCCTGCGGCTATTGTTTTGTATTGCTTGTTGGGTGTTGATCAAACACTTTTAGTAACTTGTATTGCGGAATTCTTACCATGATCAATTGGATGAACTTTCTATTTTGTTAGAACGACGGAATCATGAAGCCTTGAGACTTGAGCCTTCCGACCGAAAACCCATCATTCACGTGCGCTCTTGGCAGCTAACGGGGCCATGGTCTCCCCTTTACCGCCGTCATCGGACCCAAGCCATGATGCCGAGAAACTGACTCCGCAGGTGACTGACGTCCCCGGCAGCAAGGTGGAGAAAGGCGGGAAAGATGCAGAAAAACGCGGGGAAGCGGAGGAGCCTGCGTTTTTCTTGTCGCTGTCGTCCTCCTCCGAAGATGACGGGGCCGATGTGCCACGCGGCGGCGCCGCGGGTCCGAGGGCCGAACCGGAATCCGGAGGTGTGGACCGAGTCTTGAGTCGGGCGACTACAACGTCTAGCATCGGGGAAGGACCGCCGCCCGATGGGGGTGTGAAGGCTTGGCTTGCTAGTATGTAGCTGACGACCTCAATCTAGAGGTGTCTTGTGTTAACTTGTGACAGTCTTCGGCACCCATCTCGTCATCATGAATACCTGGTAAGTCTCCTGGATCTTCTTCGCTGTGGCCGTGGCTTACATCTTTAGGGGCATCGTGAACTCATACGGCGTATTTCAACCCTACTACACCACTACCCTCTCACGTCCACCATCCGATATCGCCTGGATCGGCTCCTTTGAGGTGTTCCTCCTCTTCTTCATCGGCGCATTCACCGGCCGGCTCACTGACGCTGGTTACTTTCGTCCCCTGTTCATCGCGGGCTTTATCCTTGTAGTCTTAGGGATGGTAACGACCTCTTTTTGTACACAGTACTGGCAGTTCTTCCTCGCTCAGGGTATCTGCATGGGCCTCGGCAATGGCTTTCTCTTCTGCCCTAGTCTTTCCACGGCATCGACCTACTTTGACAAGAAGAAGGCCCTTGCCCTAGGATTTGTGTCGATTGGTAGCTCGACCGGTGGTATGATTTATCCTAGCATGGTGAGGCAGCTGCTTCCCAAAATCGGCTTTGGATGGACCATCCGGGCGATCGCGCTGGTGCAAATGGTGACGTTGCTCGTCACGTCTCTCATCTTGAAACCCAGAATCAAGCCGAGGAAGGCTGGGAGTCTGGTCGAGTGGGCGGCGTTCAAGGAGTTGGAGTACTTTTTCTATGCCCTTGGGTCATGGCTGGTAGGATTCCTTGGGTGTTGGCTGTGACGTTTGGAAGCTGACCTGACACGACAGAACTACCTCGGCGTTTTCTTCGCATCGTACTACATCGCCTCGTACTCCCGCGACATCGTCGGACTCAGCTACACATCGTCGCTGAACCTCCTACTCCTCCTCAACGGCACCGGCGTGCCCGGGCGACTCATACCAGCCTACTTTGCATCCTACTACATCGGCACAGTCAACATGTTCATCCCCATGTCGTTCATCTCCGGCATCATGATGCTCTGCTGGCCGGCCGTGTCCTCCGTCACGGGGCTCTACGTCTGGACGACCTTTTACGGCTTCTTCACGGGGGCGATCCAGAGTCTCATGCCCTCGGGCATCGGCACGCTGACGGCGGACCCGAGGAAGCAGGGGACGCGGATGGGCATGACCTTCACGCTCATCTCATTTGCGGTGCTCATTGGACAGCCCATCGCGGGCGCCATCATCTCGGCTGAGGGGGGCAAGTACACGGGGGCGCAGGCGTATGCCGGGGCGTGTATGCTGGCTGGAATGTGTTTCCTCATCGCGGCGAGGATGGCGAGGGCGAGAAAGCATGGGAAGTGGTTGTGGATCAAGGTTTGAGACGGTTCGTGAGACATTTGCTGGTATGACAGGTGCTCTGACCTGGTGTAGGAGATAATGTAGCATTTCGAGAATTTCAGGTGATTGATATTGCGTTTTGGTATCCTCATGGAGTCACCCTGTTCCTCCTTGTCATCCTTTCTCGTCGTCGCCCATTTTCTTCGTCCCTTTTCTTCGTCCCTTTTCTTCGTCCCTTTTCTTCGTCCCTTTTCGCCGTCGTCGTCCCTTTTGTCGTTGTTCCTTGTCACCGGCGTCTCTTTTGACTGCCGCTGTTGCTGCCTTCGGTATCTTCTCTCCCATTTCTCTCGTTGGGTCGGCCTCCTGCAGGGCCCTTGGTCGCCCGTTTGTCGACTTGGACAAGGCTACCCACCACACATCGGGAAGGCAGGCACCCTCCCAGGCTACTCTTGCCTCGTCTCAGGAATAAAAGACCTATCAGACAGCATTGCACACCCAAAAAAGCTCGAGGCATCCATCAGACACTGGCACCAGCGGACTAAAGTGGGTCATCTGCCTCCAGCTTCCACACCACACAGGGCACTTCGTCGACTTCATCTTCACCTTTTCTTTTCTCCCACACTTTCGTCGCGTCTTCACCACCACTCGATTCCGCGTGTGGGCGTCTTTCCGAGAACCACCTCTCATCTCTTCTAACATTCCCTTCTCTCCCCAAAATCAAACGCTACACATAAGCATACGACTTCAGAATTTCAGATTCCCACAGCATCCCGAGCCGAGCGGCTGCAAACGCCCAAGATGGAGCCAGCGGCGGTCAACGACGCGCTTTTCAACCACTTGGTGTTGCCCGCTCAGCTTCCACAGCGCCAAGAACATGATCGACAGCTTCGTCTCGTCGAAGGTGCCCTCCTTGAGCGCCTCATCGGCGCCGCCACCATCATGAGCGGCAGCGAGGCAGACAATCCCTCCCACAGCCATTGGCAGTCACTTCGCCAGACCCTTATCGCCTGCCAGCAAGTCAATCGCGCCGGAAGAATAGACAAGTCCAGCCTGGTGCGTCGTTTCCAGAACCTCGACCCTTCGGGGTGCCTCATTCTCTATGTCGAAAGTCAGAATGCTGGCTTGATCGTCCGCAGAGCCCAGGAGTAAGTGTTTGCACCCCAGCCATTACAGCTTCCACGTCGCTAACAACCGTTTAGCCCCATCTTCAAGGATTGTGTCGTATTTGAGGCCTTCGAAGCCTCTCCTCGCAACGAAGACGTCTTGGCCGCCAAGGCCGCCCTGGTCTGGGACTTTCCTGGCATCGCTGTTGCAGTGCCTTACACCACCTTCAGCGACGACGACTTTCAGACAAGCGTCGCGAGCTTCATTGAGCAAGCCTCGCTTGAGAACACCAAGACCTTTGCCGCCCATACGTTCAAGGCCGGCGCCATTGTCTACGAGTACCGCAACACCGGTGATCCGTCAATCATCACTTCTATGCTCATGGCAATTCTCGAGGAGAACGGTC